GCAAACTTCATTCTCGTGGAAAACTCAGTCCGTGCTCGTTTAACAATATTCTATTTCGTTATCTTGTCTACACAACCATGTTGCAATACTTTTGCGCCGTTGCCAAATTGATTAGAATTATTTCGAAAAATCAGATGTTGATTCCAATATGCCTGCCGATGTTCCATGATACTTCCGACCTTCCGACTATCGCTGCAATGAAATCATAATTGAGAGTTATCTTACACGGTATTTTATAATAAACTGCCAATGTTGACTGTTCCCAATGGTCATCACTTTGTTACTCCAAATGGAACACCCTGTATAGTACAGTAGATAAGCATTCACACAGTAATTCACAATTATTGCCATTCGAATATTTTGTTCGAGAATCTGTTGAAGGTATTACCAAAGTGTCTTTGCGGCGAATAGGTAAGTATAGGTACTGCATCAGTTATGACGTCATGTCATTTTTTGAGAACAAGTTGTTTTTGTCTTGTTTATTTTGTAAATGAGATCAGCGATCAGCAGCGGGCTCGAGAACGGACCCTTACCCCCACCCTTTCTCCTAGAGGAATAACCTGGAGGATGTTGGATTGAGAGATTTGCGCGTGGGATTGAGAGATTCTTGCTTGGGATTGAGAGATTGTCACGATATTTTCGGGATTGGTAGTATTCGAAGAAAGATTGAGAGATTCGATAAGAGATTTATGGAATCTCAAGAATCGAGCTGTGATCTCCAAACATTGACACAATATTTTCACGGATTGTCAGATTTGAAGAGACATTCAGGGATTCGAAGAGATTTTTGTGGATTTCCAAGAATGAAGCTATGATTGGTGAGATTTCCAAGCTTCGAAGCGGATTGGAAAGGAAGTGTACACCAGATTGTCAGAGTGAGACAACCCTCGTGAATTATATTGGTGATTGAACTTGCAAGACTAAGTGTTCCGGATATAATTTGAGTCTATTTTTCCTGAATTTTCTCTGAAGTATCACTATACGTAGTTTGGGTTATTTGTCCTCCCAAAAAAAACAATAATACCGAGGGCAAATGGGCGAAGTCTAGTCATGACCAGACGAATCCAGTCAATTCCTACTCATGGTCTATTGAATTGAAAGAAATGAAATGAAATGACACATTTTCTCAAATTAATGTCTACATTTCTAGGGTTTTTACTCCTCTTTTCCATAAAAGGTATTTATTAGAACGCTGGTATACCCCATTTTAGGGACTAGGTAAACAACGACATCAGTCATTGAATCAACTCAATCGGGCTTAGACGGAAATTTCTTATGTATTGGCATTTGGGGTGGAAAATAATTGAGGATTGAACACCTTTAAAAAATGCGAATGAGAAAATCGCCCACTTGCCATTTCCACCTCCCTACTCATCCGAAATATCTGCGAATAGCTTAAAACACCCCGCACCCCTGATGCCTCCGATTCTTAATAACCTCCCTTTTATTTTTAATTCTCACCGAAAGCAGACATCACATTTTCAAGCCTTATTAATCTCGCAGGAATATTTCCAAGGATAAAAAATTAAAACCTAAAGCATAATGTTTTGTTTGGGGTGTGTACGTGGGGTGAGGGCAAAGATGCTTTCGGTATTTGCTGATGGATTTTTATTGGTATATACGGGAGCGACAAAATGCTATTAATCAATGGCCGATTTGTGTTGTCACATCACTAATTGAACAAAGCATTAAAAAAATAGTACTGAAAACCCATTACCTAAGGATGAGTAAAAGACTCTTACAGTCCAACTACACCAATAAATTGACTACTTATTTTATAATAATTGGGTTGTAAACACTAGTCGAATTTACGCCATAAACCTATTTTTTCTACTCACATAACTAAAATGGCATTTAGCGTACGGATATGTACCACGCTAAATGATCGATTAATCACGGATTGACGATCTGTGATTTATTCAAAATATTAAACACGTTACCATGGCAACACGATTTCTTAAACACATTACCATGGCAACAAAGTTCATTGAACACAGCTTCAGTAATTTGAGACATGTCTAGCCTGTCAATTGTATAAACTCTCAACTGCTATTTTCGAATTTTGTATAAGAATTATTCAAACAATTTGCGTTTGTATCAGAATTCTTCGTCAAAAATATATGCGAAATGTAGACGAAAGTGAAATCGAAGAGAATGTCCTGGTCCTTGCATATCTTCAAGAAGTGTAAAAATGAAGCATCCATCTTTGAGAACAATTTATTCATTCTGCGCTAAGCATGACAATAAATGTGAAACAAAGGTTAATAAGCCATCGAGTAACATGGACTGGACACATCTACAACCAATATCACTTTTATACGTGTCTCGCTGGTTGCATGCAGTTGCATTTATTATGTTCTCAATTCCCATTCCTTTCGAATTATTTTGTAGGTTAGCAGGAATAGCAGGTATGTTAATGTAATATTCGGAGTTCGTAGAAAAAGCATAGTATGTAACGCGTTTATAAACTCTTCTAGACTCGTTTATTAAACACTCGCTCCGCTCGTGCTTAAAATACTCGTTACTAAAAGGACGTTTATAACACTTGTTACATAATATACTATCATATTGATCATTCCGTGTATAAATAGTACTTGATGCGTTATTCTGAATCGAACCGAAAGTAATCGTTATGTGAATTCTGTCTTTCGCATAAAAAGTAGGACCACATATATTGTTACATGATATACTATCATATTGATCATTCCGTGTATAAATAGTACTTGATGCGTTATTCTGAATCGAACCGAAAGTAATCGTTATGTGAATTCTGTCTTTCGCATAAAAAGTAGGACCACATATTTTGATGCTGCCAGATTTGCACATTGTTGAATGACAACATCAGTATTCACATTTACAGAAGATAAATGTTAGACCTGGTACCTGATAATCACTTATTGAATATATTGAATACTTATTTACTTGTCAGATGCTTCAGTACCAATAGAAATATCCTAGTATTCCAAATAATGATCGAGATTTCAGTCGAACCCAAAATATTTTGTGCCACTGGCGTGAGCGTAATGCCTAGAGTTCCCAGAAATACAAGAGGAGAAGAAGAGAAGAAGAAGAAAACGAACTACATTGTCAACCTAAGTTCCTAACGTCACCTTCATATTCAAATCCTTTTATTTAGTGATTATTCAGTTGTGTGTTGTGTTCATATACGTATTAATAATCAATACGGATAATCTCTATCTGTTTCCATAGCGAAACATGAAGCCGATTTTTGAAGACAAATGACTATCCATAAGGAAAAGTTTTGAAACGATCAGACACATACTGCTTTGATTGAAAGGCTAGTAAACGTCATTGTCCACCGAAACGCATGTCTTTGATGACTACTATAATAGCGCATGGCGCATGCGTATCATGCCACCAAATCCTTATGGATATTCATTTGTTTCATATTTTTGGCTTCATCCTGGCACCCGTTATGATCCGTATTGTTTATTAATACGTATATGGTTGTGTTCTCTGTTATCTGCAGAAAGTATTCAAAATTCACTAGTGTCTAGGGCGAGCACCTTCTGAGGAGGCGAACTTTTTTCAGAACTTGCAGACAAGGAGAATAGATGCGTATGTCGAATTTTCTTGGATGATTACGTCACGCGTTTTTCATGTTGTAAATTTCAATAATTATTTAGGAAATGTACAGAGCTCTGGGGGAAAACGGTTTGCCACAGTGAACTATAGTTAGGGTTGTACTTCGAAATAATGAAAAAAAATGTTCTCTGATGTCATGTAGATTGTATAGATTGTAGGTTGTGTCATATAGGCTGGAAGACATCTCGATCACTGAGACCTAATAGATCTTTCGTGAATACTCTTATCTATTTTTTGTCCATCAACCCTATATACTTCTGATGGAGCTAAGAATAGGATTCATTTGACAGTTGAATTCCGTTCGAGATTTTGCAAAAGCGGCAGGTGCAAGGTTAGTGCTAGGCCCATCTTTTCCAGGTGGTATCTCAGAGGGCAATGTCTTGTGAGAAAACGGGAGCAGATTCGATCCCGAAACGACCAAAGATTAACATTCTTCAAAATGAGGTGTCACCGACTATCGATTGCATTTTCCTTTCAGGCTCTCTATAATAGTGACATTTTTAAACGCAGTGACATTTTGTGTCAAATCATCTGATTTGTCCTCACTATACATATACAGAGTACCCAGTAAACCATGGATCATACTCTGACTGATGATAAACAAGTTCATAACCTATCAGAAAACTACAATTTGACCTCACTAAAAACCTCACGGTTTTCGAGAACCGGTACTTCAATAAATATTTGAATTTTCATCTTAAATCAATATTTCATGTTCTGACCAAATCAGGAGCCTTAAATTCTTATGTTCGTTAAAAATTACTGAATAGTAGTTTGGAATAAACGCAGTAGGCGGATTTTCAATGGTAGTCATTACGGCCTACAAAAAAATATCCTCTGGTTTAGGTGATCCCTATATATATAATGAAACTTTGTTCAAGTTATTCAGATTTTTTGGGAAATGAGGTAATCATCAATAAAACACTATAGAAAGTAGGCAAGAACACACGAGATTTCCATTCGTGCGTAATATGCTTCTTTTACAACACATATTACGTTGTAATATCGAGGGCGTCATATCAGAAGGGCGTAAGAGCCACCATGGTCGTTTTTGGGATTTTCCGGCGTATTTGTTCAGTTAGTCAATCCGCTTGATAAATCAGAAGGGTGTATAGTTCAATAAATATTTACACCCTATTTTCAGCATTTATACTTCGGAGTATGAACCAATTTTGCCAAACTGTAATATCAGAAAGGCGTATATCCATACGTCCTTCTGATACCCCTGCTCTCGCGCCTACTAGTGTCACTGTGCTATGACTCTTACGCCCACGCACAAACCACAAGTGTTTTGATTCACAATAGTTAACCTCAAATTTTAGTTGAAGTTGTGGATACTCGTTACCTACATTTGTGTTGTTTCAAGTGTTTTGCAGTGGTGTTCTTCTTTTAACATGGATGAAAATATAGTGTACAAATGGGCTACTAGTAGGACCCAACATATTATGCTCAATACCCTTGAGAAGCTCAAGAACAGCGATGAAACAGGTAGGTAGCTACGTTAATCATACAATTATTATTGTTTCGATTATTTTAAGAATTTATTATTATATATTATATTTAAATAATACCTTATAGTTATCGAAATTATATGCTAATAGAGGATTAGGATTACTAGTTTGGCTGCTGGCTACAGTACAAGCTTGCTTAGGTAGCCACAACCTAATCTGTTCTCCTACAGAAATACCAATTTTGATTTATTTATTTATTATTATTTTTTTGTTATTTGCATATTTTTACTATTCGTCGACTATGTATCGTTATATATCTGAATGGAATGAATTACTTACTACTTTAATTGATTCTGGACTTAGGTGAAGTAACTGAAGTGGGTTGAGAATATTTTGTATTGTTTTGAATAGAACGGAATCAATTATTCGTATTACTCAATATTGCTCACTTTGATTATAATTATAATTTGTAGTCGCTACAAACCAGGTCGATTTGGTAGAAGAAAACTATGTATTTATTAGTCCTGTTTTCAATGTACCAGCTGAATCAAACCAATTACAGTACACTGAAGTCGATCCTGTTCCAAGTACCAGTAGATCAAACAGCGATGGAAAATTAGGTATTATTCGTATTTCTCAATACAGTGGCTTACTCCAAATAATTATAAACTTGTAGTTGCTTCAAACCAGGCCGATTTGATAGAAATGGACGATATCTTTGTTAGTCCTGTTTCAAATGTACGAGTTGAACCAAACCAATTAAATTACACTGAAGTCGATCCTGTTCCAAGTACCAGTAGATCAACCACCGATGGAGAAATAGGTATGATTATTTCAAGATTACTGAAAAACCAACCAAAAGTACCTAGTGTAGTTCGATACAAAATATTTTTTTTCAGTTGTTGAGCACATTGTCAATGTGCCGGACTTGGAAAATGAGCATTATGATAGTGATAGAGATTCTGAAAACGAACCAACTGAAAACGAAATTCGTGACAACAAAGTTTCTTCAAGTGAAGATGAAAACGAAAATCATACTGCTGATGTGACTGAAGTCTGTAACGGTAATGAATGCGGATGGCGAAGTAGATCGAAACGGAAATGTCCAGAAGCACGGGCTCCAAATATCAGAAAACGGAACAAGAATTTAGGAAAAAGCTACAAGAGAACTACAGGACTTATTCGCGAAGAAATAAAACCGCAAAATTTACAGATAGTCTGCCAGTGTTTACTAAAATGTAACGAAAATATACCTGATGAATGCAAGAATATCTTGTGTAAAAGTTTTTGGGATATAGGGAGTATAGAAAGACAACGGGACTACATTATTTCTCATGTTATTCGAAAAGAAGCTGCCAGAAACAGGAAGGAACATTCACATAGGAAATTTTCCCAAAGCTACTATTTTGACGTTGATGGCCCAACCAAGAAAATGACCAATAGATGAAAACAATTGACAAACTTGCATCTGTCAAGCTCCACATCAAGAAAACCGTGACGCCATAATAAAGTTACCGTGAGATCACAATACAGTTAACCTGGTTTGCTTGATTAAGTTCGAGGAAAAGTTTCTCTTGTATCTTGAAAATGAAGCGTCTAACGACAAATCTTCATTCCAACTATCCTTCACAAAATGAGGTCTCCTCTCACTTGGCGGCATTTTGCTACTATAAAGTGAACCACCCCGTATATCTGGTATGAGCTTTATGTGATGCAAATAATGTATTTTTCTCCAAGAAAAGTGGCTTTTTAATGAAACGAAAAATCAAAAATATTTACATAAATGAGATTTTGCATTCAAGCTTCGTATGGGAAGCTATGCCTGGAATCGAATGCGCTAGTCACTGTTTCGACAAAAATTGACTAATAATCGTTTTCAAAAGTTTCAGCCATCCAACAATCAAAACTAGGCGTTGAAAATCTGAATATATCAGATTTGTCCACATTTTCGAATAGAGCTCGTTGGGTGCTATATTATGAAATTTTTGTTTTTGAAAATCGGTCGACGGGTTCCAAATCAGGAGGGTGTTGCGGGTTGAACTCGCACACACTGTATGTTTCACATTGTAGAAAAGCAGATTTTATAGCATTGGCTACGCCTTGACTACACTGAAAAGAAAAATGAGTGAAAGTTCACTCTACTTGACTTAGGGAAATGCTAGTTCAATAAGGAATCAGACTTGAATTATTGTTTTCAGATTAGATTTGAATACTATTTCTGTTTCGCGATTTCTTGAGTGACAAGAACATTTATTGAGTGTGTATATGCCCATTATTGAGTGCTTTATATCCAAAATGAGTACTTTATTCGACTGGTTTTATATAATATTGAGTAAATAAGATATATAGTACAAAAGTTTATTATCAATCAAAGTAGATTACGATAAAATTACATTCACAATGTAACAATTGGAAATAATCAGTACATGCGGTCTCGTCTTCCCAAATCAAGCTGCAAACTCCTACTAGCAAGCTTGTTGACAGTCAGATCGATCTGCAGACAAAAAATGCATTTGAACAGCTGATTCAAAATTGTATTCATCAGAGCAGATTTGTTTTGTGTATGTTAAATGAATATTTGAATTATTTGATACAATTCACGATCATCAGCCATGTTGTTGAAAGTCATAATGTATTTTACTAAATTGAACTTACCCACAGTAGGTATTCAAACTTCACAGATATAATCATGCTAATACTTCTATACAATAATAATTCACTTCGCTGAAATGGAAAGCACAGGATGACAGAATTGTTTTTATGCACTAAACTTCTATCAACACTGGCGCTGGGTTATCAATTGGACAAAACGGCCTCTGTTTAGTCTCGACCTGGCTCGAGTCTTCCTTCCGCTGATAACCAGAGAGATTCGGGCATTCCATTACTTCGAAGTTCTTCATTTAGAAGTATAACATAATATTGTGGTGACTTAGAACGGTCGACATGTTATTCCCAAAGACACTGTTCAATGTTTGTACGTTGAAAAAGGACTGAGACGCTATAACAGTATACTGCACATGGACCGGCCGTTTTACCATTTATTTGGTGAAATCCTCAGGTGAAATCGCTCGAGAATGAGTGATTCTCACATGTTTCATCTAATGATTAAGTAAAAGCCACTTTCATATGGTTTTCTGGTTTGTTCTATTCCAAAATATTTGCTATCTTCATTGAAAATTCACTCAAAAATTTCAATCAGCAGATTAATTAACTCACTACCAAATTCGCAGTCACTCTAAATGATTTCTTACAGTGTATGAAATGCCAGCAGCGGTATCAAATTTTGTGCTTTTCTGCCTAGTAAAACGAATAACTATTCTCATGTCATGATCTTTTCACTTCCGTGTCTCCTCACTCATATATCGAAGACTGGAACCTTTGGCACGATAATACACTACACTGTTTTACCACTAACCAAACCGATTTTTTAACGCCTCGACACGTGTTTCGCTAACTATGTTAGCATCTTCACTCATCATTATAGTATTGCCCAATAAACTTGAATGGCTATATATCACGAGAAAGAATTTCTCCCATTGGCATATCTTCGGACTAACTTCCCGAATGTGCTAAATGGTTCTTCATCATTAGTGTCGGATGAAAATCAACTTTCGTCTCCCCCGAGAACCATAGAAGCGCCTTGGGACGCCACGGGACCACTTTTTTTCTTCACCCCACCCCTCCTTCGGTCCTGAATAAATTAATTGAACGGCTGTACATTTTTCTCTCGGAGCACGGACACGGTTTTTACCGTTTCTAATGTTAATCTCCTCTAATAACTCACGAGACGAGTGCCGTCTGTCTCCTTCCAATTCCTGATGGTTATTAATAGTCCGAAACGAGACGGAGGATCCTGTTCGGCCTTCTTTCATCATAAGTCGCGATGAATTAGTCAACAACTTTTTAAAATGTCGACAAATGTAAACTGCCACTTTTTATTTTGTTCGCTCGAATTATTTGCATAATATTGTTTTCAATCCTCTTTTGTTCGTCGCTCCCAGGTACGGATTGAAGTTTTGGGGGAGTGGGGTTTTCGTTTGATAATTTGCGTTTCTTGCCATCTGAAAATCGTAATGAGGCGAAAGTTCGTTGGAAGCGAACCTCAGTTGTCACTTTTTTATTATTAAGTCGAGATTAGGTAGATACACTTTTATTCACTTACACTGCTGATGCCTAACAGAGTTAGTCAAAAGGATCTATACTAACCCATTACCTCCCACTGTACTCATTTGAGTACACTTCCAATTATGGTCTCCTATTTACATCTATTGAAATTTTCCAACAAAATATTGTCGTGGCAATATTCTGCAATAAGTATACAAGAAACTCGTAATCTTGAGATGTACTCAACAAATGGCGTGAATGCTGATCATGTCAACTAATGAGATTGTGTAAACAAGTGCTGACTCATCTCTTGTTTTCAAGAGTTACTTTTTGCACTGCGTTCGTTGAAAATGTTCATTTGGCTCGGTAAATCAGCTGACCTGGTATGTATTCGAGTTGCTTATACTATCCTGACATTCCTGACACCTAATTTCTCATTATTCCTCACATAATCGAAAAAACAATGGTGTAGGTACTCATTTGGGTACAATGGGAAGATATGTGTGATAAATTTCGGAATTTTATTTCAGAACTGGGTTCGAAATAGATAATAATTTTCAGCTAATTTCTTCGAAATGTTTCTATATATATGGCCAACGTTTCAAAACATCAGAAGAAGGAATAGATGACATTCTTGCTTCAAACCGTGAGCCTAAAATGAAGAAACCCAAAACTTAAGAAAATGAAGGAAGTAGACAATAGGCGAAGCCCAAGTGAACAAGGACAAGGAATAACATGGATGTCAGTAATAAGTATGACAGGCAGAACGAAGGGTTATAAAGAGAGATTACAAAAAATGGTAGTGGATGTAAAGAACGATAGTGTAGTTCAGACCTATGAGAGATTGTTTGATGAAAACGTCGAGTAATCAAACCCTTGGGCCTCACAAAAAAAATAACCATAGTTTTGTGGTAACCGAGGCCGACATAAAAATCAGGATAAAAATTCTGCGAACCCATGTACTGGAGCGTTGACGGTGAAGTTTCGATACCATTCGTTGCTCCCAGTATGTCTAGAAATGAATTTCAAGAAATAAAGAGGTACATACACTTCTCTGACAATACCCAACTGGATTGTGATGCAATTTCAAAATATTAAACTCCTTTTTGTAGTATTCAAGATTTAGAGTTTTTTTCTATGAATCCTCCCATCGTACTCATTTGAGTACACCAATTTTGTCCAAAACCCTGCCAGGAATTTTTTTTCAATATTTTTCCTAGTGTTTGTGTTACTAGGAGGAGCTAATTATTACAAAAAACCTAAGAATATAAGAAAAAAATATCCGTGGGAGGTAATGGGCTAATACTCTATTAAATTATTCAGTGTTCTCTTATAAATCAGTTCACTGCAAGCCAGTAGGTTATCGTCCTGTAAATGAGGTCATAAATTCGCAGTCAGTGAACATATTGACATCATTCTTATACACAATTATTGATAAAATAAGCTCAAGTGCACTTTCTTGGGGTACTATCATGTTTTTCAATAGATATGAAGAAGAAGATTTGTTCGCACGAACTCTCTGCTTCTTTAAAGACAAAATATAATCTACAAACCATTTGGCGACTACCCTTCCAATACCATACCTCTCATCGAGTTTCTATATCAAGATAGTCGAATGTTTCAAAGCCCTCTTCAGATCTGAAATAACAGCAACAACATTATTTAATCTCATCTACATCCTTCGTAAATTGAATGAGTGATAACTGAATGTTTCTTCAAAAAAACGGATGATTGACGTACAGAATTTGATTTTGTTCAATGTATTCCAGGGTGTTTCGTCTAAACCGCACATTAGAAGTATTTGGAGTCCTCGAAATGATACTGATGATCTGAATATTTGTACAGAGGTTATCGATTCGGTCCTGTTCAATGAAAATGATTTCAAGATGGCGGCACTATCGCACACAAAAAATAATTGCTCTAACCAAAAAATTGTGCCTG